TTAATACAAGGATCTTAGAGTTTTAGTCCAAACTCCCACCTAATGACTGAATCTATATTGTTCCTACTACTATCCTCTCCCCTTCCAAATATCTCTGGCATTTAGGGCATGCTTCAATACATTTAAGGCTAGAAAGTTTATTACCTTGTCATTATGGTTTCCTTCTTCCAAATGTGACTTAAGCTTTTAGTGTATTTAAAACTAGATTGTATAGAGTTGTATGTATTTGTGTGTGAAAATATATGTATGCGTATATGTATTTTACACATATAATACTGTATAATATATTTTATGTAGCATATATATCACTACATGTTATAAACACATATATATATACACATTTTATATACACATGTAATATAGACAGCATCAGATAGAATAGAATCAATAAAAATTATTATCTCTTTCTGATAAATTAGATATTAAAAACTTTATCAGATGAGATGGGACGTATTCCTTAATACTTGCACCCCCATAATATGCTAAAATAAATATATATATATATATATATAAAGATGAGAGATTATAATAAAAACACTCTTTTAAATGTTAAAAAATAAAAGTAAATAAATAAAAATTTTATCAGCATTTCTTCATCGGCACAGTCACCACTTAGAGCACAAGACCCTATGTTAGGTGTTCTCCAAGCTTCCATAGAAAGCTAAGTATAGGAGCTTTAGCAGCACAGGAGGTCTGTGAAGCCTATCAGTGACACAAATTCCATACATAATATCAGAATGGCATCATCATCTGTGGTCCACTACTTCTGAGTAATTCATGTAGAAGGTATATACCTTGTTCATCAGAACTTTCCATTCTGACACTGGCAGAATCGTCATGACTCGTTGTGGAGATCATATTCTCCAAAGATGGCTGCACCAATATATACCCCATCCTGCTTGTTTCTGACGTTCCTCCTGAGTGGCAGGGTCTCCCTTTGAAGCTGTGGGGACCTCTGCGATTGCCTTGACTAAAACAATGTGGTGGAAGTGCACCGTGTGGCTTTCAAGGCTAGGTCCGTAAGAAACTGAGCCTTCTTTCTGCCTCTCTCTCGAGACACTTGCTGCTGGGATCCAGCCGGCATGCTGTGAGAAAGCCAGATCCCAATGAAAGTTCTGTCCTTGACAGTCCATCAAGGCCCTCAGCTGGCAGCCATCAAAAGGCACCAAGAACGTGAGTGAAATAGCTTTGTCTTCTAGCTGAGGCCTAACACACCAGAGAGCTGAGGAAAATTTACCATGCTGCACCCTGTTTGAAATCCTGACACCAAAATTATAAAAGATGAATCGTGTTTAAAGCAACTATGTTATAGGAAAATCTGTTATGCAGCAAGAAACAATATACTTGTAAAAAGCATTTATAATTAACAAAACAAATATATTCTGACCCCACTGAACAGATTTTCATTAAATTTTTTTACCTAAATGATACAAGAAAAAAATTTTTGACGTAAGTGCCACAAAGACTTGACAACATGTTATGTGCACAGGGAGTTTATAGAACTGATAGTTAAAATTCTCACTCAGCAGTTGTCTACAGCTTCATACTATAGACATAGATAATAATAGAAGCAGCAAAGTGTATGTGTGTACACACATATATTTATATAGTCAATTCACCCAGAGGAAAAAAAAAAGCAGTCTGATAAATGTGCTGACTTTTCCAGTTACATTTCTAATTTCAAACTTAGCAAGCACCCTGGAGCTATCCTTGGAGCAATTTGGCTATAGCAAGTACAAACAAATAAGCATCTGCTCTCCACTCAAAACAATACCTTATGAATTGTCCAAGCATAAGATGAAATCATAGTTGCTATGGGAAAACAACAGTCTTGGAAAACATACATGACAAGGCCTATATTATTTAAATAATGCTTAACCTAAGATTGCTTTAATCTGATCTCCTAGAATCTAGAATACCAAAAAATTTAAGAAAATAAAAAGGAAGAGAAAATGTATTTACTATTGATTAAGTGGTAGTGGATCATTATAAAGGTCTTCATCCTTGTCCACATATTGAGTAGGTGGAGGAAGAGGAGGAAGAGGAAGGGTTGGTCTTGCTGTGTCAGGGGTGGCAGAGGCAGAAGAAGTGGAGGAGGTGGAAGGGAGGCAGGATAGGCAGGCACACTCTGTATGACTTTTATTGAGAAAATCTGCATATAAGTGGACCCATGAAGTTCAAACCAGTGTTGTCCAACGGTCAACCATATTTATATTTTTCCTTAAGATATCTCCTTTTACTTCAAACATAATATACAGCCAATATTATCATATGAAAAATAAATCTCCCTATCCTCTCCTCCCCTCCCCCTTTCCTCTCCCTCTACCTTTTCTGTGCCCCCTCCTTACACTAGTTCTTGGACTGACCAGAATAAAAAGAACAAGCATGAAATTAATTATAAATCTTTGTTGGATAAATTGCATTAGACATATCAAGGATCTCCCTCAGGTTACAAGACATAATTGATTAGTTCTGCAGTACTGACAGTTATTCAGTAGGCTCCACTTTGCAGAAGTATGAGGAGTCACATAATCTACATAACATTCATCCTCATTCATTTAACTTCTTTTCTTATTAACGTTTACTTAACTTCTTAACTTTTAAGAAGTTAAATAAATTATTCAATTGTCTCCTTAAAAAACACTCACTCTTCAGAATTTTATGTATGAATTACATATCATAAAGAAATGTGCAAAGTGTATAGCTTGAAATGATTTAAGTAACACAAAGAACTCAAAAATACTGCCACTAATGCTCCTAGTTTGCTCACCCCTTGCTATCATTGGAATAGATCCTAAATTGCCAAAAATACCACTTGTCTTCCCTTTGACTTCTTCTATCCCACCTCATATGAAATATTTGGTGAAAAGTGGGAAGTGCTATTGTATAGGTTAACAGGGCCAAATTATTCTGAATGGTAAATATCAAGACAAGTTGCTGGTATTTCATCCTGTAGACCACAAGTTCTCAATTCATAAATAAATACTACATTTCCAGAGGAGCTAATCCTGAGTAATATTTGCTGCCAGTTCAATGAGTAAAATAAAAGACTACAGAAATACATAGTCAGGCAAGATATACAGCAACACTGTGTGCATTCAACCAAATATGACAAGGAACTATAACAGCCCAATATTCCCACAGGAATACCATACAATCTAAAAGGGAAGGGGAAAAGAAAAAAAACAATGATAACACCAACAATATTAAACTTCTCTTGATTTCTTTTAGGTCTCTCCCCAAAGGGCTAGTTATTGAAAGGACACTAACTTTTCAGAGTTTGCTAAATCTCTAAATTCTGAAGGATCATCTCCTACATAAAAACTAGCCCTTTCTTAAAGCCCCACTAGCCTTCCTGGATCGTATAGAAGTTATGTCTACATTTTATGTCACTACAGTGTACAGTAATTATGTATGAACATCCAAATAAGACATGAGCATAATTTAATTCATATCCCAGGTTGAACCGAAGATTCCCAGTTGACGAAGATCTTGAGATAATTACTGTAATCACAAACATTTCCTTAAACATTCGCTGAAATACCATTTCCAAAAATCTGCTGATCTCTTCCTGGAGAAAGCATCGCTCTTTGAAAAGCTCTTTAGTATGACTGGTTAGTATTCAAATCCTTTGACATGAGAAATAATTTGTATGGAACCATGAAGCTGCAGAGTCTTGGTATGAAAACAAGGCTAGGAAACTAACTATGCCTTGGATAATCCCGTTTCATGAGATGTGTGTGCTGAGTTCTCACTGACATCCTGAAGTTGAAGACCTAATACCTCTTTCCACAGTCTTGCTCTTTCAAGACAAGGAGCCTAAGTCTTTCTCATAATTTTTCTATGTACAGTTTCATAAATGACTAGTCTGTACACTTATTTTTTTCCTTAAAGGATGACTTTTATCTGTAATGATCATTAGTTATCAGCTTCAAAATGAATAACAAGTGTCTATAAATATCAGTGTCGAACTGCACTGCTAGATTCCAATATTATAAATGGCATGCATTCATTGTAAATTATATTTGTAAAACCTGAGAAACCACTTAAAAAGACACGTGTTCTTTTTCTTATTCTCAGTTAAATGTTGGTTGAGTAACTATAGTTGCTCATAATTTTTCACCCTTTTGATAAAGATATTTTTCAAATATACATATACATAAAATATGAGTTTTTACTATTCAAATTCAAACTTTGATGTATAGACTATTTCCATCTTGGATTATCAATGCTATCTTTGTGACAACATGGGATATATTATTATCACAAAACATGGGACATATTATTAGCAGTAGCCAGCTACTAAATTCAAGAGCATAGATGCAAGGCATAAAGACACCTGGACCAACCATTGCTGGACCTTCCCAGGTTTGTCTCACACATACATTCACTCTGTAAGTCAAGCACTATCTTTCTAAATGGCATAATATCAATATAGATAATTGCCGTGGATTGAATTGTTCCCCCTACCCCAATTAACATGTTGAAGTGTTAATCCCCAATGTGATGGCATTTGGAGACAGGATCCTTGAAAGATAATTAGGTTTAGAGAAGGTCATGAGGGTTGGATCCTCACGATGGGATAAGTGCCCTGATAAGAAAAGACACCAGAGAGCTTGTTCTTTTTCTCCCACACCATGTGTGGGCACACCTGGCCAGGAAGAAAGCTTTCACCAGAAATGGATCATGCTGGATCTTGGAGTTCTAGCCTCCAGAACTATGAGAAAATAAATACCTATTGTTTAAGCCACTTGGTCTATGGTATTTTGTTATGCACAGCCTAACCTAAGACAATCATATAGGCAACTTTGGGGAATTTTTTGATATTAACAAAATTGTTTATAAGAATGGGCCATAAAACAAAAAAGAAGAAAAATTCCAAATATTCAGTTGCCTGGATTTTCTTGGTTTGAGGAAGCCTCTAAAAGAAAGTATGATTTTAAAATCATCTTCTTAGCCACGCACCCTCCCTGCCCCTCCCGCAACGCTCGATCCTGGGATCTCCCCCGGTTCACCTGCCTGCCAAGGCCCACAAGGAAGCCTTTGATGACACAGTGGAAGAACATGTAATCAACGAGGAGTACAAAATATGGAAAAAGAACAGCCCTTTTCTTTATGATTTGGTGATGACCCATGCTCTAGAGTGGCCCAGCTTAACTGCACAGTGGCTTCCAGATGTAACCAGACCAGAAGGGACAGATTTCAGCATTTATCGAATGGTCCTGGGGACACACACATCAGATGAACAAAACCACCTTGTGACAGCCAGTGTGCAGCTCCCTAACGATGATGCTCAGTTTGATGCGTCTCACTGTGACAGTGAGAAAGGAGAATCTGGAGGTCTTGGTTCTGTTAGTGGCAAAATTGAAATAGAAATCAAGATCAATCACGAAGGAGAAGTAAACAAGACCCGTTATATGCCCCAGAACCCTTGCATCACCGCAACAAAGACTCCCTCCAGTGATATCCTTGTTTTTGACTATACAAAAGATCCTTCTAAACCAGACCCTCCTGGAGAGTGCAACCCAGACTTACATCTCTGTGGACATCAGAAGGAAAGCTATGGGCTTTCTTGGAACCCAAATCTCAGTGGGCACTTACTTAGTGCTTCAGATGACCACACCATGAGACATCAGTGCTGTTCCAAAGGAAGGAAAAGTGGTGGATGCGAAGACCATCTTTCCAGGGCATACAGCAGTACTTGAAGATGTTTCCTGGCATCTGCTCCATGAGTCTCTGTTTGGCTCAGTTGCTAATGATCAGAAACTTATGATTTGAGATACTCGTTCAAACAATACTTCCAAACCAAGCCACTCAGTTGATGCCCACATTGCTGAAGTGAACTGCCTCTCTTTCAATCCTTATGGTGAGTTCATTCTTGCCACAGGATCAATTGACAAGACCGTGGCCTTGTGGGATCTAAGAAATCTGAAGCTTAAGTTGCATTCCTTTGAATCACATAAGGATGAAATATTCCAGGTTCAGTGGTCACCTCACAATGAGACTATTTTGGCTTCTAGTGGTACTGATCGGAGACTGAATGTCTGGGATTTAAGTAAAATTGGAGAGGAACGATCCCCAGAAGATGCAGAAGATGGGCTACCAGAGTTGTTGTTTATTCATGGTGGTCATACTGCCAAGATATCTGATTTCCCCTGGAATCCCAAGGAACCTTGGGTGATTTGTTCTGTATCAGAAGACAATATCATGCAAGTGTGGCAGATGACAGAGAATATTTATAATGATGAAGACCCTGAAGGAAGCGTGGATCCAGAAGGACAAGGGTCCTAGATATGTCTGCATTTCTTGTGATTTTTAGGCTCCCCTTTTTATCCTCTCAACTCTGATATTGATTAACACTGGTTTTGAGACACAGAGACTTTGTTCGGCTATCCCTCTATAATAGGTACCACCAACAATGCTATTAGCCCAAACAGTGGGAGTTTTCTAAATGTTAACTGGGGGACTTGATTCAGCAAAGCCACAGGCTCAAATTTTCTTCAGGAATTTTCTAGTAAAAAATCCCAGGTCTATAAGTAGCCACAGAAAGGGGAGTATTATGTGTGATTATTTTTCTTCTTATGCTATATCCCCAAGTTTTTCAGACTCATTTAAGTAAAGGCTAGAGTGAGTAAAGAATAGAGCCAAATGAGGTAGGTGTCTGAGCCATGAAGTATAAATATTGCAAGGTTTCATTTTTTTTTATTTAGGAAATAGGGGAGATTCAAGTCATAGATTCCTACTCTAGAATCTTCACATCTGACTTTCCAGGATGCACATTTTCCTATGTAGACCAGTCTCAGTTTCTTCAGTTAAAGTCAAAACTACACGTTCCTCTTTCTCCATATATTTTTGCTCATTAGTGTATTTCTTGAGCTGTTTTCATATTGTTTCTTTCCTTTCTGTGAAATGGGTTTTGTTTTGTTTTTTTAAACTTGGGACCACCAAGCTGTAAAGATATATGTTTTTACCTGACAGTTACCACAGGTAGACTGTCAAGTTGAGAAAAGTGAATCAATAACTTGTATTTGTTTTTAAAATTAAATTAATCCTTGATAAGAGTTGCTTTTTTTTTTTTTAGGAGTTAGTCTTTGACCACTAGTTTGATGCTATCTCCATTTTGGGTGACCTGTTTCACCAGCAGGCCTGTACTCTCCATGACTAACTGGGTAAGTGCTTAAAATGGAATAAATTGCCTTTCTACATAATTAATAAATAAATAAATAAATAAAATTATCTTCTTAAAGGATTCCTTGGATGATTTGAAAAACTTAAAACTATCTTGTTTAGATCCTCCAAAAACACAACTTGAATCTAACCAATGGCCTTTATCCCACGGTTATTCTTCCACCCTCTTGCTCCTTCATTATCTTGTGCTATATCTTTTCTGACCCATTACAAATTTTCTCCAGTCAGAAGAAAACCCTCAAAGCTAAATTGCCTCTTGAACTTAAAGCTTACCGAGAATAGGGCAAAGGGTCTTACTTTTAAGGAACTTAAATTTTAAGCCCTAGTCTCAGTATGAACTAAGGGTGATTAAGACTTTCTGAAGATCAGACAGAATAGAAAGATATTCACAGAGAAATTTAAATTATTTCAACTCTGTGAAAGTTGTCAGAATCAAAACAGAGTCATTTGTGTTAAAAAAAACCTGACCAATACAGCCAGGGACAGTCATGAAAGGAGGGTTCTCATGCATAAATGCCTGATAACAAGAACTATCACAAAAGATTGCAAAAAGCACAACCTTGCTCAAAGGCCACCACAATCACACACACACACACAGACACACACACACACACACACACACACACACACAAAATAATTCTGCAAGGACATCTGCCCAGCGACCGTTTTCCAACCTCAGACTGGCATCACATTTGTTACTGACCCTTGTAGTCAAAGATAATTATCTCAAAAAAAATTATGTAATCCTCCTCATTTTTCCTTTAAAAACCTTTGTCTACCTTTAGCTCCCTGAATACACACATCATTTACTATGGCATGTGTATTCCAATTACAATGCCCAAATCCTGAATAAATATTTCTTTTAGAAAGTCTCTATTATTTAGGTTGGCAGACAGATTAGAATGATATTCACAGAGAAATTTAAAATATTTCTAGGAAGATATAATCTAGTGTTCCTGGGTTCATATCAATTGGTTCATAAATTATTATCCCAAGAGAAAAATAAAAGCATGTGATTAACAAATAGAAAAGATCTTGAGCATGACATAATACTCCAAATTGCATAGAATAAAAAAGAAAGAGGTTTAGAAAATACGTACTGTGCAACAAGATGTTTTGGAGACAATCCCCAAACTCATCTCTGTGAACATAGATTGTACTTTAATCCAATCCAGCAAGCAAAAAAGAAAGGATTAGTCCACTGGAGACTTTAGGGACAGAAATCTTCCACATTAGACAGTATTCAGAGGCACATACTGAAGCAGAAGTTACCCTAGCTTGCCCTGTACATTTTTTTTAGTGAATGTCATTAAGCAGAATTAGGAGATATAGAAGCAAAATCCCTAAAGTAACATTTTTGAAAAGTCTTGGAACAGAGCAGAATACAACACAGAATAAACTGATCTCTAACTCTATTCTAACCAACCAGTATCAGGGTAGGGATATATTGGAAGTACAGCTTTTTGAAATGAATTAAAAATGCTTTTCAATTATTTAAAAAACTACTTAACTGTTAAATATATTAAGTTTTCTTATGACAATAACCAAAATAATATAGGAGTAAAATTAGAAATGCATAGTTTTACCACTAAGCTTTTTTTTATACAAAATGAATCATAGCATGCCAATTAAAAAAACCACAAATAGTGTAAAAACTTTTTTTCATTTCCAATGTTTATTTTGATCAATTCATTATTGCATTGTCTGCATTGTGCCATATAAAAATATAATTTTCATAATGATTCTGGACCAAAGTGCAGTGATGTTCTTTGACAATAAGTAGATAGATAGAACGATAATAGATATGATAGGAATCTGTAACTTTTTCTTTAACAATACCATCAATCTTGATTAAAGCCAATGATGGTGATCTACCATGAAATATCTTGTTTTCCTCCAATAAATCTTTGTGTATTTATTCGCATGTTTTAAATTAGACTTTATGATTTTTCAGTAAAATAAATTCATTTACCAGTATTTTATACAAATGCATAACTTAGCATTTCCTTTTGCTTTTTAAAATTTGTCTCTTGTCATTATTGCCTTGTTACAGTACTAATCTGTTTTTGGTTTCGGGTTTGTTTTGGCAAACTACCTTAACAATGCCATTTATAAGTCTGTACTCCTAGAGTATATAGAAATTGCTTAATGTTTGGCAGCATAAGAGCAAACATAAAGCTATAAAATAATGAATGAATTAGACTTTGAAAGATTCCAACTGATATATATGTGAAGACCCTTGAAATAAATGGTTCTGTTGATTATTTCACCATGTTAATACCAATGAATGTCTTGGTTTATGTCATATGTTTTGCTCTGAGAGCATTGCTATCTATCCCGTTACTCCTAACTTGAGAGTTAGGAGTAACATTTCCAAAATAGTGCAAAGGTTAAGTTTGGTTTCTTTAGAGAAATGAAAAATGCCACTGCTGAGTAATAAAAGAACTGATATTATAAAACAATACCTAATGTTTATTGACTTTTCTGTACCAAGCACAAAGGTAAGTTTTTTAAATGTGCTACTTCATCAACCTCACAATAACTTTTTCAGAAAAGTATTACTATTATTGTTATTATTATTACATTTACGGAACTGTAGAGATGTAATTAAAATGTTTATGCAGCTATTAAATGCCTAATACAACACTTTAAACCAAGTCTCTCTGATCTCAAAGTCCATATTTTTATGTATTGTTGATAAAAATTCAGATTGCAATTATCCAAAGTAGACATCTAGCCATTTGAGATCCAAGTATCATTTCATTTATACTAATATTATAATTTCATTTCTAATAATTATGTACCCAAGTAATCAGTAGTATCATATTGTTCAGTTTTTAATCATGTTAGTATTACACCCTGGAACTACTGTATTGAGATATAAACTGAAAGGCCACTGGCCTCAGTGTGCTGATGTGTCTCACGATAGTAATCGAACAGCATGACATGACTGTACTGGCCACACTATATGCATTATCTCAAACCTTCCCCAAACCAGCAAATTTGGTTTTATTATTCTCACTGTACAAAAAAAAGAAAGAAAAATGGATTCATGGATATTAACCAATATTTTAAAGACATCCAGCTAGTAAGTAAACAGGATAATTCAAATTTAAGGATTCTACTTCCAATCTCTATACATCTATTTCATCATACTATCTCTGTTCATGGTGATGGACAATTATCACTCTAGAGATGAAAATATATATCTACATAAATACATGAAATTATATTATTCACTATATAGATTATATATATGCACATAAACATATTATATATACATTTGCACATATATGTGTTTGAGTATCAATTAAATCTCCGAATCTAACAAAAAATAAAATAAGAACTATTCCTCTTCCTTTTTCTACTTTGAAGGCTATTCATCCTATAAAACAATATTTCTCTTAATTACAAAGGCTAGTATAATATGTATGCCAGTATGTATATTACTAATATGTACTAAAATGAATATGTGCATAATTATACATTATATATATTTATTATTACATAATTCTGTAGCTATGTATAGAATTGGAAGCATCAGATTAATCAACTTTTGTGGTATTAACATACTATATATAAAGTCAGGAAATTTATTATATAACAAATAGATCTGATTTTAACTCTCAATTTCTTCGTCTCACACACTAAAGATTAAAAATTAGATGATTTTTAATTCTCTTCCAGCTGTACACTCTAATTATGGCTCTGCTTTGGGGTTTGAAATACAAGTGGTATTCACAAATATGCCTTGCATTCATAATATTCACATCATTGCTAAGCTGAATATAATTGTGTTTTCTAGCTTGAGCCATAGTTTTCTGCTGAAGATTCATACCAACAAATGTATAAGTATCTGCATTTTGTTTAGAATTTTGTCTGTTAGATTTCCTTGAAAGGCAAGCCAAATTAAACTCTAGAAAAAGATATTTTCATTTATTCTTGGTTAATAATGCCATTCATTAATCAAGACATGACATCTCATTTAATCTAACTGATTATGCTAGTATACGTAAGAACACAATCCTATTTGTAAGGATTGCTATAAACTCTTCTGTTATGAGCTTTAATCTGAGTTTAGTTGATCTGTGTCAAGTATATTTGTATGTGATAATATCATTTTCTAGTAATCTATATTATTGTGGACATTGAAATTCTTGTATTAAATATTTTGACTTAAACAAGTTTGGAACATTATAATCCATTTAAGCTGAACAAAGTGGTTAAAATTAGACAAGTTAAAAATTAATGTAGCCCTTGTGTTTTACTAGTTTATAGTTTCCCAGTAATTTAACATCCAACATATGTGGATTGAAAATAAAAATCTATGCTCTTTTAAAGCATTCCTCAACAAGGAATACTTTAAATATACTAGTCTGTATCATCTATTACCCAGACATAAACTTTAATGCTGATTGAAATTTTAAGTATCATTACCTTAGGCAGCCACGCATTATACAGATTAGGTGAAAAACAGTTAACTTAAAATACTGCCATATTAATAATGTACATAAATCAGCACAAGAAAACACTGTTAATTTGCCATCACTAAATGTCTTCCAATCTCTTACAAAGATTCAAACTTAGTTAAAAGCCAAAGGAATAATCTCTTTTATGTTTGCTTTTGTTTTGGGCTTTTTTTTTTCATTTCCTTCATTGTATTATATGGTTGTATTTTTTAATAATCTGCTGTCAAATTTATCTTTTTCCTTTTCTTCTACAAAATAGAGATCATCTT